GGGACGGGTGTTACAGGGCGCTCCTCTCGCCTGCGTCTCTTTTTATTCTTATCGCTGTTGGTTTTATTTCTTTGTTATTGCACTGGAAAATGTTAGGAGAGAGATACTAGAGGAGGTACTTTTACAAAGACCTTGGGGTTTTTCTTCCTGCAGAAATATCATAAATAATTGCCAAGAAAAATGCTAGCGACCTCGTCTGAATATGTTTGTAATAAGATGATTTCTCTTTGACGAATAATTTTTCAAACTCGGAACTTTCTTCGTAGTGCTGGGGGAAAAAAAAAAAAAAAAAGATTCTGTCAGAATCGCTGAGTATAGCGGTTTCGTTAAAGTGCACCCACTGGAAATAGTTGCTAGTGGGTGTTAGACAGGCGATCGGCCTCTTTCAGCACTTGTTGACTGTTAGGGTACTAAACAAAATCCACGTTGTTATTTTTGCGTTTTGCTCTTAAAGCCTCTTTAAAGAAAGGCATACTGAGGAGGACCAGGGCTGCAGTATGGATAGGCAATTTCGGATCGCTTGCTATTTTGTAGGCACGCACATGTTATTCCCTCTGAGTGCCTTGGGAGCGCAGGGGCTTGATTTCTAGGAGTGCGATTGGCGATCTTATCACATTCGTAACGGATTTGTAGGTCAGAAGTAATATTGTTGTTCACTTTATTGGTACCGGCTTGAACTTTTCACCTATAAATTTTATTTTCTTCTTTATTACTACCTGCGCCAAAATGCTAATTTTATCAGGTTCAGTCCTTCTCAGTACATACTGCTTCAGGGATATGTTGTGTTTCCTCAGCTTTGTTCAAAACCGAGCAGAAACACATCAGCGCCGTATAGTAAATCTTTCGAAAATAGATTTCTTTTCTGATGGCTGAAAAAGTGTTACTGCGTTAATAACTACATCGGTGGCTGACAGTTGCTGATGGTCATCTGGAGCTAAATTCTAATGTGTTTGCACCACCGATATTTCCCTGATCTACAAAACTGTTCAAAATGCAAAATCAGGCGGCTGCCCTTAAGTTTTCTGCTTTACAGGATTTAAGCAACCATCAACAGAAAGGCAAAATTCACAAAACATTGCTGCCTCTGTTTTTTCAAGTAGAAAACTTGATCCGGTATTGAAACGCTTACCCATATGCATTTTACTTCATTTATTAGCTTGTAATTAAATAAATCAGCAACAGAAATTAAAATCTAAATCACAAAAGGTAATTATCCAGTGTATTTCAAGTGCATTTTCAAATATATAATTCCAATATTCAAGCGTTATTATATAAGCAGAATCCAAATTTCTTTTGAATATATTTAAATAACATTTCAAGTATATTTATGGAATGTTAGAAATAGAACAAGCAATATATATGAAACGAAAAATGTAAACTTGTTAAGTTCAGACACTTCAAAAGACAATTAACAAAAGTACCGTGATAAAATCTACCTTTTCAAATGGTATCTTCTCTTTAGCAGAAAATGTCCTTGAAGTATCCAAAATGGCAATTTAACTTCTGTTCACCAAATCACAAAACACCAACATCCACAATTTCAAAGACAATGTGAGATCACAATATTTGATACAAATTAAAAGATACATTAGGGTTTGTTCAGGTGGCATATCCAAATAGCTTTTACTCACAGAGGGTTTACCTAAAAATACCGGGGTTTTGTTATAATCCGTTGGTACCGTTTCTAGGCAGAATGGTCACCATCATGTTAAATTACGGCCAATTTTGCTTTCCGGGTAGCATACTTCTTTTTTTTTTTCCCCTCATTTTTTTTTTTTCCCCCACGGGGAACTGCAAAACTGTGGCGAAGATAAGAGGAACGATACTTGCTGTTCTTATTGGATTTTCTTTGTGAAGAGCCTAAGCTATATTCCTTTTTAAAGGAGAATATTATTTGCATTGTCAAGTGGAAACATTTGACTTTTCGAACGGGCAGCTTAAACTTCATCGGGAAATAAGCGGATTTATCGGTCGGGCCGGTTTTTATAGTTACCCTCTAAAGTTTCTCCAAACTTTTCGGGTTGGTAAGTATTTCCCTAGCCAGTCGCCACGTTTGTTTGGCCGCGTTTTCCAGGGCCGAGTGAGGTTTGCCCTGAAAAAGGTCTAAGTTGGGCAAGAAGTAATGCGGGCACCTCCTGCACTGGAGGCAGGAGATGAGCTGCAGTAAAATCCCGTTGAGCCGGTCCCCCAGGCACGACTCGTCCCAGTCCGATTCGCGGGGATGCTTTTCGCATTCGTAGGAAACCAGAGTCTTCATGTGATAATTATTCAGGGGCTGGCCCGGCAGCTCCAGGTGACGGTCCCGTAAGGTTTTGAGGATAGAGAGGCATTTCTTCCTGCAGCCGCCCATCTGCAGTCTGTTCTCGGCTTCCGCGAACTGCAGCACCCAGGCATCGCTCTCGGCCGAGCTCTGCTTGCCGGCCAGAGAGTGGCATTCCTTGGATAAGAGGTTGAAGCCTTCCGCCTTGACCTCCGCCACCCTGTTGGGTCCCGGCCAGGGGATGTGGGGAAGCGGCCAGTGGGCAGCACTCCGCGGCCAGATCCCCGTGCATTTGAACGCCGGAGTGATCTGCACGACGTACCTATCCCTGATTCTCAGCTTCACTTCGCTGGTGTCCGCCACCATCTTTACCACGTCTCTGTAACTGCACTTATCCACGGCTTGAGCCACCAGAGTCTGAAATCTGGACCGGATTTTGCGAGCGGAGAGGTAGCCAGACGCCGTGATGAACTCCACCCAGAGGGACATACTCCTCTTGCGCCCGTCGCTTAACTTTAACACAGCGCAGCCCGGCAAGGAGCCGTCGTCCACGAAGTTGAAAACCCCCATTTGGTTCAGATACAGCACGACTTCAAACTCCGTGGGGGAGATGACTTCCAACCCCTCGTAGCGATTGTCCATCTCGTTCAAGGAACTGATGAAGCGAGGCTCCTGCACCTCCACCTCTTTCAGCACGTCCGACACCACTTTGCAGACTTCTCGGATCGTTTTGGCGATGGCAGCTTTCCTGGCTTGGCATTTCTCGTTGTAGTATTTATTCAGATGGTACACCAGCTTGGCCTGGGCCGCGATCATGTTGGGGCAGAGATCCGGATTGTATACCGGAGTCTCGCAATAGGCTGTGGGATCCAATGCGGCTGCTAAGGCTGGAGCCAACTTCAGAGGAGAAACAGGCTGCCGCACTCTGAAATGTAACAAATGTTTTTCAAAAATGCGCTGGGGCTGCTGCTCCTCAGATGCTCTCTTCCTGCTTTTTTAGATCAGCCGTCTTGAAGTGTGTGTG